CCCAAAACCCCAAAACCCCAAAACCCCAAAACCCCAAAACCCCAAAACCCCGCAAAGCTAAAAGTTTAATTTGATTGATAACTTGTTATTATAAATATTTGTGTTAAAGAAGTGCTTTAACGTTATTTAAATCTTAGAATATTTTGATTGATCTCAATCGTTCAATCGTATCTTATCATCATAGTTCTTCTTTGACATATATCTTTAACTGCTTTATCTTCACTTATCTAAAAGATAAAATTAATTGATTAATTTGTTATACCTCTCCAAGAGTGTAGTACTTAAATACGAACTTTAATAAATCTTCCTCTTTTCCTGACCCATTGGTGAAATCCAGCAGATAAGTCTGCAGACACCTAGGCAGGGTTAATTCATTTTGTACTGGATTGTAAACCATCCTTGAATTCACAATCTCTGAGACGTAAACATCCAACGCTTAATCTATATCTGAAGATCCGAATCTGTCAATATGCTCGACAACCTCTGGGAAATCCAGGCATACAAAGTTAATTCTAGGATCATTCATCTACACTTATGATTAATACATAGTTTTTATGCTTGTTATACCTCTTTTATAAGTTGGGCTCTTTGATCGCCTCCGCCAAGAGTCCTCAAGTAAGCCAGTGGTGATTTTTTGTTTCCTCGGAGAAGACCATGCTTGATCTAGTCCAAACTGAAGTCAAAGCCACCAATTCTATAGTAAAATGCCTTGATCCTAAAAAAAAATTTTAATTGGCATATTTAATGGTTATGCGGAAGGGAAATTGAATGCGAATAGAATTAAAACTTACGAGTAGTCCCAGACAAATGACTTGATCTTTGAAAAATAAGAAACCAGAGTGCTGCCTGATCCCTAGCCATCGACTCCTCTACCCTCATTAGTCATTTTTAGGAAATGATGGATATACATACACTGGTATACATTAAGGAAGAAAGAGATCCTCTCATTATTTTCCATCTCATTTACGTTAACCTTTTCTAATTCTGATATCGCATTTAAGTAACCTTAATACTGTTAAGACTTAAGTGCTGCCTCTACTTCAATAGTAGTGACACCATCCTCTTCTTTTATAGCTTGTTCAAACAACTCCTCAGCTTTGCCAACCAATAGCTGGGATACTTCAAGAGCGCATCTAGGCTTATCCTTCCATCTTCTGACCATGTTATCTGGAATGTCATCTCAATCCATGTACATTCGATATAATCCAGTTATCTCGAACTCTGGGAAGCCTTTGATATCTTGCAGTATTTCTTTTTCAAGCATGACCTGGCATATGCTTCTCGCCTTTTTCTCGTTAGCTTCAACATGCTCTATTATCCAACGATATATATCTCTTCCCTGAGCACATCTTAAATGCTTAGAGAACCACCCATTTTAATAATCCTGAATGTGGATATCATTCCTTATCAACTCAGCTATCTCTTCTAACTATTCGAGTTGGAACTTGCCTAGCTTATCATTTTCTTCTGATTTTTTACTTTCATCATGGTCCTTGTCCTTATCAGTAGATTCACTGACTTACTTTCCATCCATGTCGAAAATGTTGAGGACCTCATTCTAACAGTTGTTTTCTTCGACAAACTTTCTAATGGCTTTATAGACGCATGGAATTCTAGAAAACTCAAAGATGTTTGGTCTTTTGCTGTAATCCTTATTTAGCAGTAGGGACACTAACATCTTTAAGTTCGAATGAGTGTCTTCTGGAAGAGGTGGGTAGGGCTCCTTCTAAATCCTCTCGAATAATTCGCTTATTTTTTCAGCATCAAAAGGCTTAGTAAGTGTAATGAATTCATATAGGATAACGCCTAAACCCCAAACATCAGCTTTTGAATCGTATGGTTGGGATTTACAGACTTCTGGGGACATATAGTAGGGGGTACCGCAAGATGTGGCATTCAACGCAGACTTTGTATCCATTTACTTTGATATACCAAAATCTCCTAGCTTTAAGATGTCATTTTTAGCAACAAATATGTTTTAAGTCTTGATATCTCTGTGTAGAATGTTTTTGCTGTGCATAGCCATTAGGGCTAAGGTTATCTGAGCGATATATCGAAGTGTCTCATCATAGGCGAATTTCTGTCCATTAGTGATCTTTTTCTGGATTTTCTGAGCAAGATTTCCTCCATCTGCATACTCCATCACAATATACTAGGAGTCTTTGTCTGAAAAAGACTCTATAAATTTGATCAAAGTAGGTCCTGAAAGCACCTTCAGCAGGAGGATTTCATTCTAAACATTCTGCTTATCTTTCTCTGACAAATACATCAACTTCACCTGCTTCAGAGCGTATTAGTTCCCATCATGTTTGCTTCTGACAAGGTCTATTTGACCTGTGGCCCCACCATCCACATATCTAATTTTCTCATATTTGTGGAGACCCTTCTCTGATTTGTCTGAGCTTACGCTAGAAATACTCATATGTCTAACGAGACCCTTACATTCTTGGAACCTAATAGGTTTGACAAGATAATCTTTAGCTCCCATTCCTATTGGAGATAAATACCATTTAAAGCTTACTCAGGCAATTAGCGACTATTTCCTTGTCTCCATCAGCAGACATCACGACCACTGGAATTAGTGATAGCTTTTCATCCTCCTGCATCAGAGATAATAATTCAAAGCCATCCATCTCAGGCATGTAAAGATCTAGTAAGACCATGTCAAATTCCTTGTTTTCATCTCTTAATTCTGCTAATGCCCTTTTTCCATCTTCCACAGTAGTAACTATTTCCAAATATTTATTAAAGGAAAATTATTTTAAATCTCAAAAATCGGCGGAATTATCGGAAATTAGGATATCATACCTTCGTACTCGCAAAGCTCAAGCAGATCGAATAGAGCCAATCTCTGAAATTGCTCGTCTTCAGCAAGTAATATACTATAAGTTCTTTAAGTTGCCATGGATTTTTTTATATATTGATTGATTATTATAAAAACTATTTAGAATAAATTAAGAGTCAACAAGATAGAATATGTGACTGAACAATTATTCAAAAAACTTAATGTTATTTTAAATTTCACGCACCTGAGAAACTAGTATTAATTTAATATCACCATTGAACAAAATTCAGACTTAAGGGGTTTTGGGGTTTTGGGGTTTTGGGG